TCAATCTAGGGAGGTCGCCCATTGGATTGAGACATTGAATAAGGCAAGACCTATAGGACTAAATATTCACTATAATGTAGGCATAGCACCCTTTGTTGACACGTTCAATACAACCAGCAATCGAGCAAGCAAGATAGTTCATGCCCACTATAAGAGTCTTCAAAAGAAATTCCCCCATGTCTATAAGCAGAAAATGATAGTTGCATATTCAAAAAATAAGAACTTAAATGATAATATAGTTCATAGTAAACTAAAAACAATCAGTACATAACAGATACTATACTTCTCATTAGTTATGTACGACACGGTTCTATCCTCAATAGACAATATTTGACTGAATTGTCAGATTTTTAAAATTTTAAGCCTGGATTTTTAGTAATCATATTAGTAAATTTAATAGTTTTTTTTAGAAAATCACACATACTAGAGTCTAGGCTACGTTTACCCTACAGCTTTGTGCCACTGTGGGCAAATCAAAATTTCAAAGTTCTAAGCTGAGCCTATTTCTTTCTTTAGATCTAGTATCTTGATAATTGCAGTGAGACTTTGAACAAAAATGTCGAACATTTTCCTGAAAAGTACAAGTTTCACGTTGACAATAGACCTATCCTATATGATATGGTCATATTTAGATTTTCTTCAACATAAAGGCATTTTAACACTAACACTAGTGACTAGGACTACAGTAGATATTTTTAGGATGATATAAAAATCATCGGTAAAATGAAATGAAATGAAATTCATTAAGGAGCATCAGCACCAAACGGGCTATATAGCTCCAGAATACGTTAAAATAATAAAAAAAACTAAAACAATAAAACACCTATCAATATCACAGAAAGGTCACATAGTGACAACAAAAAATCCCCAAAAAAACGATAAAAACCATATCACAGAAACAGTCATTTAATGACTACAAAAAAACACTAAAAATAATATCACAGGTAATACACCAGATGGTGGTATTAAAAACAAACAAAATATTTAAAACAAACAATGACTAATCTATTTAAAATAAAGACCGGCTTTTTTAAAAAAGCCACAACATTCTCATAAAGAGAAGGTTGCGCAAATAATTGATGTAAAGATCCAGCACGGTAGATGGGATCTCAAAGGTTTGCTTGCACTCAATCAGAATGTGTTTCACTGTCAGGCGGAGCTGGCAGTGCTCAATGTACTTGCAAAGACAGTAGGCTACAGTGGCAATGACAAAACCATTGCAAGACATTTGCATGAATATTTTCAAAGACTAGGCCTATGATTATTTGATGGCTATAAATGTCACTTGCCTTGTTAATGTTATGAAAGCAAAGGCTTTTGAATCTTTGGATTGAATGATAGAGACTATTTATAGACTATATCTTACTCATCGATTACACACAAACTCATAACGTCGACCTTCAGATGGAATATTAATAGTAACTTTATCTAAGAACCATCAAGGACCTGTCCCAGTATTGTCATGTCCTATCTTAATTCTTTCAATCTTAAATCAGAAAGTCGACTTGGTACTAATACTATCATTATATAGACACGGTCATTCAACCAGAACTTTGAATAAACAAGGTGAAACAATAATCAATAATACAATGTATAGAATTTTAAGATAAAATCTAAGTAGTGAAAATGAGCCAGATAGAACTAAATGGTATCCATAAATTTTTAATGCTTTTATGATTTACGTTAGTTAGTATTCTGTTTATTCACGTCACAATCCGAGTGGCAATGAAGCGAAACTTGTTCTTGGTTTGAGCTGTGGAAATGTTTTTGTTGTAAAAACAATACTAGTGTCAATACCATCAAAACAAAATCAACACTTGAGGTATGCTTTTTTAAAGTATGGTTCCGTAGGTGCTCAATCAAAATAATTATTTACATTTCCCACCATTTTGTACGGGGCCCCTAAGGCCATACTTTTATAAAATGTTTCGTTTTAACCAAATAATTAATTCGTTTAAACGAAATAATTAATTCGTTTAAAAGAAATAAGTTATTCGATTAAACGGAATAATTATTTATAATATAATATATGACGTTATTTCGTTTAAACGAATTAGCATCGTAATTTTGTTACCTGGTTCGATACTTTATTCTTAGCAACTTAGGTCAAGATGTGAGGGTGGATCTACTTGATTGTCGTCAATTTGTTTTTTACATTTCACCTTGTTCTTGCTTATTATGATTTGGGGAAGGGAGGGTTTAATTCTCCCAATTGTACAAGCCTAGGGTGGAAGTTACACTGTCCTCTACTTCAATGGTATTGACGAGCGATCTGTCAGTCCTCCTTTTGAGAACATGTTGTCAAAGAAGAATATCAATCGAAATAACATAAGTCAGAAAAAAAATAGACCAACGTCATCCCCTTTTTATAACAAATTCCATCGTCATGATCTTCTGTTAGACTACTGTCACACTGTAATCATACTATTACTGAAATTAACATAATATAATCTAAATACCTCACACTAAATAAATACTGATGATCTTCTGTTAGACTACTGCCACACTGTAATCATACTATTACTGAAATTAACATAATAAAATCTAAATACCTCACACTAAATAAATACTGATGATCTTCTGTTAGCCTACTGTCACACTGTAATCATACTATTACTGAAATTAACATAATATAATCTAAATACCTCACACTAAATAAATACTGAAGATCTTCTGTTAGCCTACTGTCACACTGTAATCATACTATTACTGAAATTACACTAATATAATCTAAATACCTCACACTAAATAAATACTGATGATCTTCTGTTAGCCTACTGTCACACTGTAATCATACTATTACTGAAATTAACATAATATAATCTAAATACCTCACACTAAATAAATACTGATGATCATCTGTTAGCCTACTGTCACACTGTAATCATACTATTACTGAAATTACACTAATATAATCTAAATACCTCACACTAAATAAATACTGATGATCTTCTGTTAGCCTACTGTCACACTGTAATCATACTATTACTGAAATTAACATAATTTAATCTAAATACATCACACTAAATAAATACTGATGATCTTCTGTTAGACTACTGTCATACTGCAATCATACTAACTGAAATTAACATAATATAATCTAAATACATCACACCAAATAAATACTGATGATCATCTGTTAGCCTACTGCCACACTGTAATCACACTATTACTGAAATTAACATAATAAAATCTAAATACATCACACTAAATAAATACTGATGATCTTCTGTTAGCCTACTGTCATACTGTAATCATACTATTACTGAAATTAACATAATATAATCTAAATACATCACACTAAATAAATACTGATGATCTTCTGTTAGACTACTGTCACACTGTAATCATACTATTACTGAAATTAACATAATATAATCTAAATACCTCACACTAAATAAATACTGATGATCTTCTGTTAGCCTAGTGTCACAATGTAATCTTACTATTACTGAAATTAACATAATATAATCTAGATACCTCATACTCAATAAATACTGATGATCTTCTGTTAGCCTACTGTCACACTGTAATCATACTATTACTGAAATTAACATAATATAATATAAATACCTCACACTAAATAAATACTGATGATCTTCTGTTAGCCTACTGTCATACTGTAATCATACTATTACTGAAATTAACATAATATAATATAAATACATCACACTAAATAAATACTGATGATCTTCTGTTAGCCTACTGTCACACTGTAATCTTACTATTACTGAAATTAACATAATATAATCTAAATACCTCACACTCAATAAATACTGATGATCTTCTTTTAGCCTACTGTCACACTGTAATCATACTATTACTGAAATTAACATAATATGATCTAAATACCTCACACTCAATAAATACTGATGATCTTTGAAAAGCAGGATTAGAAGCCGGTGCTCAATCAAAATAATTATTTACATTTCCCACCATTTTGTAACCTGGTTCGATATTTTATTCTCAGCAAACTAGGTCAAGATGTGAAGGTGGATCTACTGATTGGCGTCAATTTGTTTTTCACATTTCACCTTGTTCTAGCTTATTATGATTTCGGGGAAGGGAGGGTTTAATTCTCCCAATTGTACAAGCCTAGTGTGGAGGTTACAGTGTCCTCTTCTTCAATGGTAAACCTTCGACCCATTTACGTTTTGCTTACGATTTGGTAATATTTTCGCGATCTTGAAAAGGCCTTCAATGGACAATTTACACATATTCTGTTAACTTTGGAAAATAAACTTGAATATTGAAAGATAGCTTGCCAGGCAAGGTAATATACGCCCACTGGCAGCTTTGAATTTAAATAAAAATATTTGGCAGTACAGTTACAATTTTCAGTATGAAATATTCAACTTTCAGTCAAACACTTCTTTTGAACTTTTTGAGGCGATACTGAATAATATTACCAAGTTTTGTCAAAATCCGGCAAGAATCGTGCCTGTAAGTGTTTCCTATCGACCTTGTTGTATTTAGCTGGTTTAATTTTATGGGGAGTGAAAATAAAATATCTGAGGCTGCAAAGTTTAGATTTGTCGCGTCACACCAAGGTTGCAAAAACATTTTGAACATCTTTGGAGGTGTGGAAAATCCCCCTTTAACAGGATCTTTTTTTTCTGGCTATATGCCAGCTGACAAATGTCGAAGTATCCATCAGAGGCTGGAATAAAGTCCGATGTTTCGGACTAAGGTAAAGTGTACAAATGCCTTTAACGACAATCATGTATGACATAATTCAGGGAATATTCAGTTGATTCTCTTCTTCTGAAATATAATACTTCCGGTTCAAGATGGCAGCATGGACCTTTATCACTCTTTTTTGATAACATTAGTATCGTCGTTCTTGAGTAGGTACAAGGCTTCACGCGATATCTACGAGGCTTCTTTTGCGTGATTGATACAAATTTGGCTGATCATCCTTGCAAAATCTTTCAGTATTTCTGGATGTATGAGTATGGCATCCCTGGCTGGGATGTGTAATTTTAAGTGACAGGAATGATACAAATTGAATAATTTTTTATTTTTATCAGAATTTTCTTGATTTCTCAAGTACAGCCAAAATTAACCAAAGACATAAACAAAGTTGCAATTTTCTTGACTTCTGAGCTTAAATCGACTAGAAATAGCTTTGAAATGAACGTCATAACCATTGTGGCTTTTATAAGAAATAACTCCTTTGGCGGCATACGGATCGCAATGGTCTCTGACTGACGATGGGAATGAATTGAAGGCTTTATCTGAATCTGTTCTATGGTATACGGTATGTTTGTGTGGTCGGTAGCCCGTCCTTGGATGGCAGGAATCTACATTGTTAACAACGCTTTGTGCTTGAGCCATGTTGATGTGTCCTTTACGACGGTCAACACTTGCGACCACCACGTTTCTACCATGGTTTCTAAACTTGAGGTAACCGCCACACTCTCCAACATAATGTACATTACTACCAGTTATATCATTGTATGTTATTGTGAGCCAATCTCGCCAAGAGTACTTTTTAGTCAGGAAACCATACAGCATGTTGTTGAAGTCGTTGTTGTTCATTGTATTTTTCGGATGTTTTATAAGATAATTGTCAATATCTTTTCCAGATTGAGTATGATACTGACTGACAATAGAGTTATCTGTAGACATCATTTTGATTCTGATATGGGTAAATCGAGTTCTCCATTGGTTTTGGTAATCATGTAGAGCTGCTGTGTGGCCTTTCAGCTGATGATAAGTCAGTTCCAACTTTGCTGCTTTCATCAACAATTGAAGAAGTCCCAGCATAAAGGTTTGGCTTTTCCCTCTGTCGTACTCGCTGTATTTGATGATAGCAGTGAAGAGACCATCTCCAAACACCCGTCCTTCATTCATGATGCCGTCATAGAGTTTTGATCCGCTGTTTTGATAATCACTCTCGAAGTTTTTAACGAAGGCAGAAGCAGTGGTCTTTACAGCTCCAATGGAAAATTTGTAGATATTTTCGAATTCTTGGTTAACAGCATTAATTTTTTGCTCAATATCAGAATACTGTATTTGTATTTTACTCCAATCAATCAGTCGTTTCACTTCAATAAATTGCAAATCAACTTTATCGAATCGATTGTCAACTTCTGTGTACAGACGTTTAATGGCTTTAAGTTCGGCTGATTCGGAGTGTCCGAAAAATCCCATGATGAAGGAAACGAAGGGCCCAACTATCCCAAGAAAAGGGGTTACAGCGGTAGCCAGCTTTCCAATGACATTCGTGAAATTTTTGGCCACAACAAAGTCGCCAAGTTCTTTAGCTACTGATAAACCATTTTGGATGTTAGAGGCAGTGTCTCTTATTTCCTTGGTAGTAGTAACAGTCACGTACAATACCAATAAAACACCAGCCAGCACATTCCAATTCATGTCTGAAAATGATGAATAAATATAATGATATGCAATTACCAATGGAAAGGTGAGTAAACAAAAACTAAACATTCGTCTGACAGACGTTCATCTAATACCTAAGCAGAAACGAATAAACAGGATATTAAGATTTTATTAAATCACAATTTTAACGAGTCATCGACATTGCACAAGATTTATTGATTGTAAACAAGCTTGCACGATTTTTGTCCTCAAAACTTTACGATACAAACAGTATGAAGGGGAAACTAAAAATAATTTACGCACTCGCTTAACGGCTCATAGATCAGATATCGAACTCAAGAAAGACAAGCCTGTTTCTGATCGTTTTAATTTGGACGACCATTCATCAGCGGATCTTATCCTAACCCCCATTGAGTTCAGGATGAAACCATGTCCATTGAATAAGGCAAGAACGATGTTCACCATCAAGCAGGCAAAACACCCGTCCCCGCTGTCCGGTTCAATACTACCAGTATAATAATGTTCATAATGAGAGTCTTGAACAGAAACAACCTTTGAACAAACGATGATTATCGCTCATACGTAACAAAACATTTACGGATGGTGAACTTTTGGTGACTTCCATCTAATTTATTCAACCGTCGGTGACAGAACACGCAAAGAATCGTTTTAACACCGCTAATAATTTATCATTCAATATTTATAATACTAAAGCAGTGAATATCACTGGGCTGGGCATCGCTGAAACTTCGCCTGTTAATCCTTTTATACCTACCTTTGGTGAACAAGAATTAAACTTCGTGAGTAGTTAGTATATAGATAAATTGTATATTAATTAGAATCGAGGAACATCCCCTAAAGCAGCGCTTCTCAACCTTTTTCACTCTGTTCATCCCATCACTGCACTACCAGAAGCCACTGACATTTTCCAATATGTTTTAGATAAAGTTACGTGGTTTTGATTGACACCATAATCAGACAAGTCGGATAAAAATTGGCGTCTCTATCAAATAAAAGCTCATGCATCACTTACGGTTTGAATTTATCCAAGGGTGTAATTTTATATTATAGAAAATCGTTATGGTCTTTAGTCGACACCGGAAGCTGTGCCATCCACAGCGATTTTGTGTAACGGAAGGCTCTGACACTTACACTGGGAGAAATCCAAAGGTTTGATGTTAATGGTGAACTATTTTTGTCTTCTGTAGATTACATTTCAATCCGATATAGCGACTGTTGAGATATAGAGTAAAGTAGCTCCGTCGCCAGGAATAAATTGGTGCTGGGGCTCAGAATTTGTACTATTTGATGAATTGATAAATGCCCAGAGAACTCAATAATTGTGAGGTGCCAAAAACGTATCAAAATCTTTTTGATTTTGTTCAAAAACACTGTAAATGAATCAATACCGAACTGAAGAAGGTTTTTGCTGGGTCTTAATTCTCACTTGCTGGGGCCCAGCTCCCACTGACTCCACCCTAATGACGGTGCTAGAGTGAAGTAGAATCGGTAATAATCTGCCTACCTGAGTGATTCCGATTGTGTTGTATCTGATACCATTTTTACTTTTATACTCAACGACGAAATAATCTAGTTTGTAGATATTAAAGGGACATTCCGCTTTTTTGTTAAAAAAATTTTATTATCTAAAACGTTGTAAGATATAACTAAAAATATTTCTAACGTATGCTATTTATAGCTATGTATCTACTTGATCAAACTGAATTTGTTTTAAAAAGGTAAATTAAAAACTGAGAGTACTTAGCAGGTTTTGGCTTTATTATGACTCGTTATAGTTAGTTGAAATTGGGCGTTAATTTACTCAGATCCGTACAGTAGGTTTCTAACAGCTTCCAAAAAGCATAACAAACTTTAAAACCTTAGATAATATTTTTAAATATTTTTGGGAGGTATATAATTAACGGCTGGATTCTTTTTCTTAAAACTTTCAGATACGTAAAAGTGCACATTTCTCTAGATTTTGGTGTATAGTTTACACGAATTTGAGTAAAAAAGCCGGAATGTCCCTTTTACTTATCTAATGATTGGAACTGGGAAAATGACAGACTTTAGAGTGACGATTTTATAGCTCTCCTTATCACAACAATCTATCATTGTATCAAACAATGATACATATTTAGTGCATGTCCTAGATTTCGGGGAAGGTGTGTTTTGGATCTTGAGGATGGACAGGGCTAATATGAAATATTTCATTGAGAAATCAGCTGGATATTTTCTAATTTTTCATTAGATTCGGAATTAGATGAATTAATTAATAAATTATCATCTCCCTCATTGTACACTGCATGGCGTTGGCCGTCTTCATTAGCCCACATGGTGCAGAAAAGTAGGACGTTAAACTCTATTCATTACATTTTACATACATTATCACAAGATACTTTAAAATAATACAATAAACACATGATTTAATATAAAACAACATAAATACATGTACTATTATGGAAGGGTTTTTGGGTCAAAATAAGATGCTCTGTTAAATTGTCTAATACTTATTGTGATACCGTCATCTTTGTCATATTGCTTTAGTAAATTGTGATAAAACAAATGTTTTGTCATTTTCCTCACTAATTAAAAGTTTACATATCATTTTGGTATTATCATTTTCTACATATCATTTTGGTATTATCATTTTCGACATATCATTTTGGTATTATCATTTTCGACATATCATTTTCTACATATCATTTTAAACATACCATTTTGGTATTATCATTTTCGACATATCATTTTGGTATTATCATTTTCGACATATCATTTTGGTATTATCATTTTGGTATTATCATTTTCGACATATCATTTTGGTATTATCATTTTAAACATACCATTTTGGTATTATCATTTTCGACATATCATTTTGGTATTATCATTTTCGACATATCATTTTGGTATTATCATTTTGGTATTATCATTTTCGACATATCATTTTGGTATTATCATTTTAAACATATCATTTTGGTATTATCATTTTCGACATATCATTTTGGTATTATCATTTTCTACATATCATTTTGGTATTATCATTTTCGACATATCATTTTCAACATTTCTCTTAGCAATATGCAAATGAGGTCAAAAGGCGTGGCTTCCAGAAAAAAAGTTTTCATACACGCTAATACCTCCAAAGCAAAAAAAACCCAAAACAAACAACAGTAAAGCTCTGCTCTAGAGGTGAGTATACTATAATGTTCTGCATATAATGTTCAAGAGTGGTAAGAGACGACACTTCTACAACAGTACTACACTGCACAATTATCGGTTGATTGTTTGGAGTTGACCAGTAATATGCCGAACATTGTTGTGAATATTGGGATATGTTTTTTAACTGATAATATTAACTGTTTGTAATCTAAAAAAGTTCCTTTCTTTAGATTACATTTTTGTTAAACATTCAAAAATATATTATACTCCCCTTTTTCATTGATTCTATCTGTTATCAATCTTACACCTTTGTCAAACTATTCGTTTATATACAATTTACAGCTTTTATCTATGAACCAGATTGGCCAAGGTATATTTACATTTATGTTCATAATTTTTAATTTTTAACAAAAACAATCATTGGCAGCGAACACGTCTTTCCAGAATGGATTTTGTATATAATTATTAATGATAAAATATTTACCGGAATTCAAAATTAATTTGTAAAAGTTGTGATATTTGGACAGTGAGATATTTATACTTTTTTTCATTATGATACAATCTTTTTATCCAAGTAGTTTTTAATGCTGTGTTTTGAATCCGAATATCAGGTACTCTTAATCCACCATATTTGTAGTCTAATTTCATGATATCTCTCTTAACTTTGTCGGGTTTATATGAATTTAAAAAACGATTGTTCTATTTCTTTAAAAATGGCTTCAGTTGGATTTGGTAAGGAAAGAAGGAGGTGGATTAGTTTTGGGAGTGCTAGAGACTTGATCACACATATTTTTCCAAATATTGAAAGAGGGCGCCATGACCACATATTAACTTTATATGTTTACATATTTTTGTATTAGAATTTGATTTGGAACTTATCCATATAGCCTTAGTTTTCTCTATGTTAGCTTTTAGTCCAGAAGCTTTGTAGAATAATGTTAACGTTTCCATAGTTTCACTAAATGAGCGTTCCGAACAATCTTATAGGAGTGCAGTGTCATCTGCGAATTGTTTTTGATTGTTAATTACTATCCCATTTATATTTTTATTATTGCGTAATAAAATAGATAGAATCTCTACACAAAGTAGGAATAGGTAGGGAGAGAGAGGATCTCCCTGGCGACATCCTCTTCCTAGACTAAAAAAGGTTGTCAAGTTACCATTTTGAGTAATGCATGACGTAAAAGTTTTATCCATTGTATTATTTGGGTACCAAAATTAAAAGCTTCTAATGTTTCGTGCATAAAGTTCCAACTAACTGAATCAAATGCTTTTTCAAAATCATTAAGTACTATTAGGCCTGGAATATTGTTTTTTAGTCTCAAATAAGTGTCATAAATTATTCTAATAATTTCACCAATAAATTTTTAGTGTAAAGTTTTTCATAAAATTCCTTTTGACTATTCAAAATTTCGTTATGCGCCGTAATCCCCCCCCCCCTCTTCAGTTTCTAATACGCTTATCTTTATATTAATATAATTATGTTTTTTAAGATTTAAAAAATATTTGGTGGGTTTCTCTCCTTTTTCATGCCATTTAGCTTTTGATCTTAAAATCCTTTAATTTTTCCTTAATATATTTATCTATCTTGTCTTCTGTTAAATTTTCTTCTAAACTTTTTATTTCTTTTTCTAATAAATTTTCTTTTAGATTTACTTTTTTCTCCTTATCCGATGCATACGATATTATAATACCACGGAGGACAACTAGAATTGTTTCAAAAAATTAAGGGTTCCTCTATAGTTATCTCAAAATTGTTACTTGTAGAAAGAAAATCATCTGTATAAGGGGTGGCGGCATAGAGGCGTTTGAGAAAAAATAGATGTTGTCTGATTGTATCTATGAAATAGGTATCTGTGAGAAGTGAATTGTTAAATTTCCAA